ACATCCAAGCATCAACATGGAACCATGTTCTAGAATCATCACAACAAAGACAATGTAAGAGAAGGTAATTTTAAGCATACCAAAGCATAGAAGAAACCTTAAACGAATAAAAAAACCTTAGAGGATATTCAGTGGTGAATCAGAGGCAAATAGGTTTCTTAAAGAAGACACCCAAAAAGTATGAATATATAGAGAACAAGGTGACTAGGGTTGGGGGACAAAAAAGTTAAATTAAAACTTTTTGTTTTGCTTTTTAGAAAAGAATCTTTGGGACCATAAACAAAGCAAAACTCCTTCTCTCATACAACGAATAGAAAGTGGATAAGTGGAAAAGCACATAAAAGAATATCAACAAAGAATATTATTGTCCAAAAAGCAAAAAGGGTGCGTGATGTGTGATTGAGGAAAAATATCTGTCAAATGCATTGTGAGCACACAGACTCTAAAGTACTCACACTTATGAAGGTGATCACGTTTAGAGAGTGTGCCCACATTGGCACAAAAGAAAAGATAGTACAAGACTCAAAACAAGATCATAAGATGATAGAAACACTAACAGACTTACCATTTTTCATCAATGAAGATACCCACCAGCGTATCATGGGATCGTTGCTTTGGTTTTCTTAAGCATCCATTCCAGTTCACTCCTACTAAGGAGAGTGCTTCCTGGATGATAAAGTCCCCAAGCCTTTGCACTGCAAATGATACTACTCCGTAAACATACTTTGAAAACTAGATTTTGAACTTGATTTGTATCTAAGTGCAGTTTGGCTTGGTTTAGAGGATCTAGGAATTGAAACTTGACTTTGTTTAAAGTCATTGGGGCAGCAAAGCTCCAGAAGAGGGACGCCTGGCAATAACTTGCTGCTGGTTAGGGAGTTTTTGGCGGAGACTGGACTTGATTTGGATCAGTTTTTTGAATCAGGATCACAAACGGCTTGTATTATTATTATTATTTCTCTAAAGTGGTTAGGTTTTAGATCTGAGTCTTCGGTTCCGGTAGCCTAAATTATGGTGTTGCAAACAATGGCTGTTTTCTTGATGATATATATGATTGATTGATTCAGAAAAATAAAATTAAAAAAATTAAATAACACTATCCATACAAATTACATATAATTTTCCTTTTTAATAAAAAACCGACTGAGGAAAATTAAAAATAAAATAAATGCGACTTGACTTCATTTAATAATAAAATGAAGTTAAGTCACAATGATTTTCCAAGTAATAACGTAGAAACTTCATTTTAGCAGAAACATATACATAGGTCAAAAAGCTGAAGCCATCTCAACTTTTCCATATAATTTCAAATTCTTGAAAAGCGATGTTTTTCACATTCACATTCTCTTTGTCATATGCGGAGCGACCCATCTAATCCCTGATTGGTTACTTTCTTGACTACGACTACCCACACTATTTTGTAATGAAATCCCTAATTCTAAGCGTTGGATCAAAGACGTAATAGACGTGATGGTGATTAGTTAACGAGATCGAGAGATTGAAAAAGACGTGAGACTCGTGAGATTGTAAGTGTTTATAGCTGTGAAAATGAAAAGGATGACCCTTTGAATTCTTTAAGACACAGACTTTTCACAGTGAGAAAATTGCAGGAAGGAGTCCCCACCCACGTTAGATAGATAGCTGTAATTCAAAGATGATGCAAACGGAATATGCATGCCTCAGCTCTTTATTCTCTCACCCACCAATTGTCTTGTAGTAATAATTTCTGTGATAGGCATTCTACTTTTGCACCTCTGGTGCCATATAGAAAGTGAAAGTTGTGTATTGTTAGTAAAAAGAATGCAACAATTTCTTCATGAATGGGACCCAACAATTTCGCTCAAGGTGCAACAATTTCTCATTCTGAGTTTTTCAATCTCTTTGCTAATGCTATACAATTTACCATTTTGAATGCGCAAGAGCAGTTCATCACAGAAGAAAAGAATCTTAGCCTTCTTTTTAGTGTTACTCCTTCATCCACGTCGACCGTATCCGAAATCCCTCCATGTTGCACCGTGAGCGAAAATGCATCTAAGACATCCTCAGCATCAATGATACCAGATACCCACGGGCGCATCATGAGATCGTTGCTTTGTTTTTCTTCTGCATCCTTAATCGAACATTGCATCCATTCCAACTCCACTTCATTCTTTACTCCTCCTAAGAAGACTGCTTCCTGGATGATAAAGTCCCCAAGCCTTCTCACAACCAATGATACTACAGCATCAACCATACTTTAAAAGCTAGATTTTGCTGCCTGTTAGGGAGTTTTTGGCAGAGACTGGACTTGATTTGGATCAAAAGATAAATTACTAACTGAAAGAGTCCCAAGATCAAATGAAAAAGAGAAACTAGAAAGCTGTTATTGATGTCGGGACGTCGCAAAAACCCCAATCTTTGCAAGGTTGAAAACCCCACTATGGATGCCAATTATGGTGAGGTTAGAATAAACCTCACTATGGCAAGAATAGTCAAAAAGCCCACCTTGGTTGGCTACGCCAAGGATAACTAAAAGAAACCTCAAAGAGGAAGAGAAAAGCAAATGCTTTAACTCAAATATTTTGATAATGCTAAGGGATGATTACAAGGGATGAAGCAAGGCTTTATTTATAGCCTTCCAAGTGAAAAAGGTAAACATCTCTTTCCCATGTAGGACAAAAAGTCAATACAATTAAAATATCTTTCCCATGTCTTTCTTTGTCTTATGCTCCGGCATTATTCTCCCGGGGTTGGAAGAGACTCGCCGTCGAGTTCCACATCTTCATCATGTTCTCTGTAGCAAGGAGATATATCAGCAACATTGAAAGTAGCAGAGACTCCATAATCTCCAGGGAGCTCAATCTTGTAAGCATTATCATTGATACGTTTCAAATTTCGAAATAGTCCGTCAGCTCGAGGAGACAACTTCATACGCGACTTAGGGAAACGCTCCTTCCTTAGATGAATCCACACTAAGTCTCCTTCCTTGAATTTAGCCAGCCTTCTGTACTTGTTGGCTTGTTGCTAATACTTAGCATTCTGACGAAGAATCTTCTCTCGAACCTCTTCATGAAGCTTCTTGATCTGTTCGGCACGCCTATCAGCATCAGCACTGAATTCACGGGTATTGGGTAATGGCGAAAGGTCTAAAGGGCTAAGGGGATGTTTGCCATATACTACTTCAAAGGGGCACTTTCCTGTGGTTTGGCTTACAGAACTATTGTAAGAGAATTCTGATTGGGCTAATACAAGATCCCATTGGCGAATGTGTTTCCCCACAAAGCTTCGTAATAGATTTCCCAAATTTCTGTTGACTACTTCAGTTTGACCATCACTCTGAGGGTGGCTAGCTGAGCTGAACTGTAAGTGTGTTCTCATTTTTCTCCAAAAGGTCCGCCAGAAATGACTCATGAACTTGACATCTCGATCTGAGGTGACAGTGTTGGAATTCCATGAAGACGTACAATCTCTTTGAAGTATAGATCAGCAATGTGAGAAGCATCATCAGTTTTGTGACATGGGACAAGGTGGGCCATTTTGGAAAACCTATCAACGACTACCATCACAGCATCTTTTTGCCTTTGTGTTCTTGGCAAACCCACAACAAAATCCATGCTCACATCTTCCCAAGGAGCTTCGGGAACAGGCAAGGGTCTATATGTACCAGTATTTTGACTTCCAAGCTTGGCAATGTGGCAAATGCGACACTTTTGGACATGCCGGATAACATCTCTTTCCATCTTGGGCCAATAAAATTTTTCCTTTACAAGAGCTAAAGTTTTGTCCTCGCCAAAGTGCCCAGCTAATCCGCCATTATGAGCTTCCCAAAGGATAGACTGATGTAGAGAATACTGGGGAATACATAGTTGGTTACCCTTAAAAAGATACCCATCTTGGTGATGAAATTGCTTGTAAGACTGCAAGGAACTGGACTTCCAGATGTTACCAAAGTCAGGATCTTCTTCATATAATTCTTTCACAACTTCAAAACCAACAACCTTCAACTGTAAGGTGGAAAGTAAAGCATGACGACGACTTAATGCATCGGCTACCTTATTTTGTACACCTGATTTGTGTTTGAGAAGAAATGGAAAGGCTTGAAGAAACTCACTCCAATCTGCATGACAGCGGTTGAGTTTCTGTTGGGAGTTGAGGTGTTTGAGAGCTTCACGATCAGAGTATAGGATGAATTCTTTTGACAGCAAGTAGTGGCTCCAATGGTTCAAGGCCCGAACAATGGCGTAAAACTCCTTATCATAGGTAGAGTACTTCAACTTTGCATCATTAAGTTTCTCACTGAAGAATGCAAGTGGTCGCCCTTCTTGAGAAAGTACAGCACCAATACCGACATTGGAGGCATCACACTCAACTTCAAACACTAAATCAAAGTTAGGTAGGGCAAGCACATGAGCCGTAGTGAACCTTTCTTTCAATTCTTCAAAGCTCTGTTGTGCCTTGGCATTCCATGTAAAACTATCTCCCTTGAGGTATTCAGTGAGTGGGGCAGCAATAGAGCTAAAATTTCTAATAAAACGCTGATAAAAAGAGGCCAACCCATGAAAGCTTCGCACATCATGAAGGGTTTTCGGAGTGGGCCAACTGATAACAACTTCAACTTTGCTCTGGTCCACTTCAATTCCTTGGCTGGACACAACATACCCCAGAAAGACAACCTTGTTTGTTAAAAACTCACATTTCTTCAAGTTGACAAAGAGTTTTTGCTTCCTGAGCACTTCAAGGATCTGTCGTAAATGCTCCAGATGGTCTTCAGGGTTTTGGGTATATACCAAAATATCATCGAAATATACCTTAACAAACTGTCCAATGAAAGGGTGAAAAATCTGATTCATGAGATGCATAAAGGTGCTGGGTGCATTGGAGAGGCCAAAAGGCATGACTGTCCATTCATATAGCCCATCACGAGTTTTAAATGCAATCTTCCATTCATCCCCAACCCGCATTCGAATTTGATGATAGCCACTTCATAGGTCTATCTTGGAAAAAACGGTGGCTCCATGCAACTAATCCAGCAAGTCATCAAACCGAGGAATAGGGAAATGATACTTGATAATAATCTTGTTCACAGCACGACTATCAATGCACATACGCCAAGTCCCGTCTTTCTTTGGAACTAGTAAAGGAGGGACTGCACACGGGCTGACACTTTCTCTTACTAGGCCTTTCTCTAAAAGTTGCTTAACTTGGCGTTGTAGCTCCTCATGTTCTTTAGGGTTCATGCGGTATGCTGGTTTATTTGGAATGACAGAACCAGGAATGAAATCAATAGCATATTGAATATCTCGTGTTGGTGGCAACCTAGGAGGTATCTCATCTGGCACAACATCAGAAAATTCTTGAAGTAAGTGCTTGACTTCTTCTGGCAAGGCAAGAAATGACACTTCATTTTCTTGGCACAATAGTAACAAGCACACCTGGTTTATTTCCCGACAAGCCTTCTCAAGACCAAATCTCGTGATGAATGCCGCAGGCTCCTCTGGTTTCTTCAAACGATTTTCTGGCCTCATAAGGGTCAACATTACCCTTACCCCATCCTTTTTGAAAAAATACATGTTTTTGTATCCAACATGAAGAGCTTGACGATCATACTGCCATGGGCATCCCAATAATAAGTGGCAAGCATCCATCGGAACAACATCACACCAAACTTCATCTTGATACTTATCCCCGATGGAAAATTGAACACAATAATGCTTGGACACCTTGACTTCATTTCCTTTCATCAACCATTGTAGTTTATAAGGATAAGGATGTGCTACGGCTGGGAGCTTCAATTTCTCTACCATATAATTGGCAACAACATTTTCACAGCTACCCCCATCAATAATGACGTTACAAACCTTCCCTTTGGATGTGTACCTTGTATGGAAAATATTGTGACGAAGTCAACGTTCATCTTCAGTCATCATAACGGTGCTAAGATTGCGACGTACCACAAGGGATTCTCCATTATCAGCAGGTACTTCTTTTATTCTATCATCATCAAGCATTTCTTCTCCATCTATTGTACCCTCCTCAACATGCTCTTCAATAACTTATTACTCCACAAGTGAAACAATTCTTCGATTTGGACAGTCAGAAGCGATATGCCCAAAACCTTGGCACTTGAAACATTTTCTTGAAGCGGCATTAGGAGTGCGATTAGAACCACCCTCTTTATCATTTCTGTAAGGAGGCTTGAAGGAGTTTACTTTAGAATTTGGAACGGATGCTAAGCTTTGTTTCCCATGGCTTGTTGTAGTCTCCCTCTGCCTCTTGGGATTTATGGTGTTCTTCCATGCCTGCTGCTTCTCAACCTTAATCGCGAACTGGATAACATCAATCAGACTCCAATATGGTTGTAATTGCACGACATCTGCAATCTCTACATTAAGACCTCCCAGATAACGAGTGATAGTTTGCTCTTCTGGTTCATGGATATCACACTTCAGAAAAAGTTGCACAAACTCCATCGTATACTCTTCTACCGACATGGCTCTTTGTCTTAAATTATGAAACTGAAGAAAAGTGTCTTGTCGATAGTGTGCTGGAAGAAACTTACGTTTGAGCTCTCGGCGCATCTTCTCCCATGTTCTAATCTTCTGACGGCCCTCCCTTTCTCGCTGCCGTTTCAAATTCTCCAACCATATAGATGCATATTTCTTCAATTTTATTGCAACTAGTTTCACACGCTTCTCGTCAGGAACATCTTGAAGCTCAAAAATTCTTTCTACCATGTGTAACCAGTCAATAAAATCATATGGCTGAAGTCTTCCCTCAAACTCATGAATGTCTACTCTGAAACTTGAGATCCCAAATTCACTGCCTCGACCCCTCGGACGGACCCTAGGAGATTCATCTCGAGATAAGGAGTCTTCCCTAAATGGATTGGTGCCCTCACCTTCACTGTTGGAACTATTACTGATTTCATTATCTTGATCTCGTGTGACTCCCTGTCTTGCAAGTTGTTCTTGTAGTTCTTTGATTTGGTTTCTTAATTCCTCAATTTTAACATCTCGCACAGTTCTCTAACGATTTGGAGGTTTTGGTGGCATTTTGTGATAGGGGTGATGAGGTATAAAAATCAAATAATTTACAAAAACTTGATATAGTAGTAAGCGCTACTATGGTTCAATACGCACCAGGAAAATTCCTAGGAAAGTGGAGGGGTCATAAGCTGTCCCACTTAAAACCCACTTTCCTTATACTCTTATTGTCTTGTTGACAGAATTTTCCTAGACATGCATATGAATTAAATAGCTACTTACTGTCCTAAACCAAAGCTCTGTAAACTAATGACTAGGCAAGGAAAAAAAAAAAAAAAACTAGAATAATGGCTACTTGAACGTAAAAGTGAGAAAGAGGAAAAAAAAATTACCTAAAGAAGAAACCAAAGCTCTGATACCAAGCTGACGCCGGGACATCGCGAAAACCCCAATCTTGGCAAGGTTGAAAACCCCACTATGGATGCCAATTATGGTGAGGTTAGAATAAACCTCACTATGGCAAGAATAGCCAAAAAGCCCACCTTGGTTGGCTACGCCAAGGATAACTAAAAGAAACCTCAAAGAGGAAGAGAAAAGCAAGTGCTTTAACTCAAATGTTTTGATAATGCTAAGGGATGATTACAAGGGACAAAGCAAGACTTTATTTATAGCCTTCCAAGTGCAAAAGGTAAACATCTCTTTCCCATGTGGGACAAAAAGTCAATACAATTAAAATATCTTTCCCATGTCCTTTTTTTTTTTTTTTCTTTGTCTTATGCTCCGACATTAGTTATACTTTCCCGAGAAACAGAGGAGCTTGAGAGAGAAATAGAAAAAAAATTCCAGAACTGATCTTTTATTAATTTCATTCAATTTAGCTTACAAAGAATTATTGAACTGCTTTTATACTAACCTTTGCAATCCATGTGACTCCGGCAGAGAAACACCAACTGTTTACAAAGAAACACAAACTTACTGCATTTTAGCCGTAGATTGCAAAATAATGTACTTCAGCCAAAACCCAGCAACTTTGATCCTAGAATAGCAGCTTCTGAGGTGAGTGGAAATCGTAAATTGAGAGAAAATTAAGAAGGAATTAAAGATTCAATTTCTATATTTGATTGAATGAGTCATTAAACAACAAGGGTTTGCTACTTAAATGAAAACAGTAGCAAAATAGAGAGTGAAGAAAAGGAAATAGATACAGAGAAGATGAAGATATTCTACCACTTTAAGAGAGACACAAAACGACAGTGTTTTGTTGTTACTTAGCTAAATATCAACTAAGCCCTTATCTTCTGAATTTTGACACTTTAATCCACATGCCCACTCAAACTGAACTCCTTAGTCCAGGTTTCCAAATTCTGGCATTTTAATCCACATGCCCACTCAAAATGAATTGCCTCCAAAATAAAAAAAAATCAGCATGTCTTCACCAGATTACACTTACTTGTATTCAATAATAAAACATCCAATGGCCACTGCAATAGAACACAAGGAACAACCATAGATTGCACTAGAACATTGCACATCCAATGGCCACTACAATAGAACACAAGGAAAAACCACAGATTGTTAGAGTAGATGCCCTAGAGCCAATCAATTATTGTAGAATTGACTCTTTGTAATAATGTTCATTAATCAATAATAAAAGGCATTTTATTCTATATCGCGTAAATCATTATTATTGCAATATGTATTGATATATGTCCTTAGAATGGTAGAACCGTGACGAGGGTATCAAGTGTTTCAAATCTTGATAGTGAGAACCCTATGAGCACATATGGTGGCCATTCTAGAAACGTCCGTAGCCCCAGTATTATTCTGAAGTAAGGGCACAGATAATACGGTAAGGCTATCATAGTGTTGAACGACCCTGTCGAAAGGCAGTGACTGATCTCACTTGTCAAGGTTGTTTGGTGACAACCTGGTGCAACACATGGGTGCTTGTTGTAGGCGGATATACCGCAGCAAGTTCACTGGACTGACCCACCAGAGGATTCCATATGGATGGTAACCCCAGTGTCTATGGAACAAATCCTCTAACGAATGGTGGTGCATGTGATCCTTAGACTTGAGATCACCGGAGCGCCTTGTGCACCGATTGGTACAGTTTGACACTAGCCTAACGCAGTTCTATTCAGAGCTGTCAGTACGGTGGTGATTGGCTATATCAAGGAGTGTATCAAGACTATGGTGGATTGACAAAGGATTCATCACTCCCGGGTACGGGAGAAGTTATCTCACGGCGCAATTCAGTATATGGCAATGACACTAAAACTGTGGCCACAGTGGGATTGAGTTGTTGCTCTATCCAGATTATAATACGGGTCATTGGTCCAGAAACTGAATATATAATATCGAGAGTAACCGAAGGTTGACACTATTTCTATGCCTTCGTCTCGTCGAGATAACGTATGATGAAAGGATCGTATTGTACGGTAACCATATCGTTGACAGGTAGCTACTTTGCTGAATCCGAATCTATCGGGTGGCCATGATGCCTTGCTAGGGGCCAATCTTGGTCTGTGTATTAGTGAGACGATTAATTGGTGTTAATCGCGATACTATACACTACCGGTATGATGAGGAGCCTATGGGTCACACACATAGAAGATAATTTAAGAGCCAAGAAGAAAGAAGGGCGTTTTCGTCTTTTTAGGCGAAAGGGTATTTTGGTAATTTCACAGTGCAATTAAATTTGCTGAGGTCGTAGCCTTTTATTTAATTTGTTAAAAAATTAAATAAGTGAAATTACGGTTAAATGTGTGTTCGCACATATTTAATTAAATCATCATTATTGTTAAATGTTAATTAAATATTAATTGATTTTAATTGAAATAATGATGAATTAAATTAAAATATCTAATTGGGAGTGTTTGGCAAATTTGGGGGTGTTTGGGTTGTAGCCCAAGCCCATTCCATATGGGAATAGGGCAACTTAAATAAGACTATAAAAGGAAAAGGGTTTTAGTTGGAAAGTGTGTGTGTGTTATTTTATTCATTCATTGATTTTGAAAAGAAAACCTCCAGCCAAAACTCTCCCACGCCACTTTTACTGTTCCATTGAAAACAAACACTTTTGTTGTTCTTCTTGATTTCTTAAGGCCAAGGAGGATCTAGCAAATCCCTCCTTGGTTCTTGGTGGTTGTCTTCGTGTGGACTTCTTGGTTCGATCCTACACTTGGATCGGTAGCAAACACATTCAGAGACAACATTGGTGGAGCCTCCAACGTGGGTATAGTTTCTCAAACCTTTGGATTTATTTTCTGCAGATTCTTATTATTATGCATAAACTGTAAAATCTGTGCCTTGATTTTGGGTTCTAAGGAACGATCCGTGGTTGTAAATTTTTGTTTTCCGCTGCGCAACCGGGTCGTTTCCTAACACAGATTGCACTAGAACATTGCAGCAGAACACCAGGAAAATTCACAGACTACACCAGACATTGCAGATCTCAACAAAAATTGTAGCTCAACAAAAAATTGCAACAACATTGCAATAGAACACTAGAAAATTCACAGGCTGCACCAGACATTGCAGATCTTCAACAAAAATATTGCTGCTCAACAAAAAATTGCTGCAAACACTAAACCACACAAAGAAAATTGCACTGACTTCATCAGTCATTGCAGACTGAAAAATCCACAAACACCATCAGTTATTGTAGACAGATCAGTAGATTCCAGTTTACAGTAAAAAACACACAGAGTCTACAAAACACGCAGATTGTAGTAATCATTGCAGACTTCATCAACCATTGCAGCTGATTTGCAGATCCCAATTTGCAACAAACACACAAATTCCACAATATATATATA